AATAACATCCACAAAATAAAAAATACCAAGAGATAGTTGTATTACTATATCATATACCAACAATATATATATATATATATTTATATATATTTATATCCAAAAACTTGGAAATTAAATTTCAATTGTCACTTATTTACATGAAGCATAAGCCATAAGATTTAGGGAAACAGTGATCAGAAACAGGGAGATGGATTGCCTTAGAGTTGCCTCACAACTTCATGGAACGCTAGATCTTCCCTGTCAAAACAAGGTACACATATTTCCCCATATCTTTAGCTTCCAACTCTTCACATTTAATATAGTATTGTACCAAATTACGTAGCAAGATGTGCCTTTCTGACCAAGAATTGCATCACACGTGCTAGGATCCAGTTATAACACATGTGTGTGCATTTTTACCAACAGTAACATGAAAAGAGGCTTTACAATGAGCCATAATCTAACCATAAATCAGGTATTACATGAAGAACCAACCTCTAACTGAGTGAGCATCTCAATGGTCAGATGTAAATCACATCCATTGGCAAAGAAAACTTCAGCAAGGCTTTCTGAAGCAAACCCAGGAAAAAGAGAAGCTAAAAACTCCAAAGGGTTCAAATCAGTATCATTCAAAAGAGAATTCCCAGCAAAACCATCATTTAAGAATCTATTTCCAGAGTTGTCATCATAAACAAGTGCCTCTTGACCATTGCTAACATGCAAATCCGTCTTCCCAATTTGCCTATCCCAAGGCTTTGCTGAAGAGTTCAAAAGGCTTGGTGAAGATGGTTCCTCCCTGTAGGTTGAATTGGAAAACCTTAATTTATCAGCAAAAATATTGCCATTAAGGTGTTCTTGAGACAATTCCTGCAGCTCATTTAACATATATCTACTTTCCTTAGATGAAGGAAATATTGAGGATTCATTATGATTATTTATAGATAAGCCTGCTAAAGAGAGGTTGTTAACACCTTGGGATTCATCTTCTCCCATGACCTTGAAGTCAGGAGTGATATCATCAGGCAGCTGACAACGCCAGTACTGGTGAGCCTCATCATCAGAATTGTTCGAAATGGATGATTCTGATCGATCTAGAACTGTTTTACCAAGAGATCCAGCGGTACTAGTAAACTTCGCTGTTGCATCCACTGAGCTAGTGCTTCCAGATGGAGATGATCTCAGGGAGTATGGAACAAACTCTGCTGCATTTGGATTCAAAGAGGTTGCTTTGTTTGGGGCGCTCAATTTAGCGTCTGTTTGGGATACTTTCTTGGATAAGCTCATTATTGACAAGAATATGTTGAAAATGACTAAAACATAGATGGACCTTATGAACTGTAACAGAAATATTCCAGACGGCTTCAACCAAACCCTGCAAAAATAATTCAACTAGGTCATTACTAAGTTCATCAAACAGACTATCAAAAGAAAACACTGGAACAACAAAAATCCTGAAAAACTTTCATGCATCACGTACTAGACAAGTGAACTCCACGGTATCCAATATCACATGATGCATAATGCGCAACTCAATAAAGAATTCCAGTTAAATATGTTGATTATCACTGCAGGCAATAATATATTGACCATTTACAAAACTGAAACTTGAAAATAAATCACATAAACTCGATTAAACAACAGAGTGACTATTATGAACTACAGACACAACTTTTAGCTCATATTGCTTACCATAAATGCATTGGTGAAAACCCTAATTTTTTTTCTGAAGCAAAAATTGACAGAGCCAAGATTAAGTAAACAATTGAAAGAATTATTCAATTAGTAAAACCAAATAAAACTTCCAAACTCTTAAACCTTATCATAGGAACAAAAAACAAAAAAGAAACTGCGACAGATGAAAGCCAGTTGAAGGCAAAAAAGAAAAGTCAAAGCACGACCATAACAATAACACAACCTTCCAATATGAAAGCCAAGACCTTTACGGGATCTCAAGCAATTCAACACCTTAATTATCAAAAGATAACCCCAAAAAATCCCAAAAAATCCAATTGATCAAACATAACCAGAGCAGGTAATTGCCGATAAAAACACACAATTTAAAAAGAGATGGGTAAGTGAAAGATCTGAAATTTAAGGAAAGTGTGAGAAAAAAATTATACCTTTGCGAATCAAATCAAAGGGATACATGAGGGAAGATAGCATGAGATCAGAGGGGTAAGATAGGAAGAAATGAAAGTTAAACAGTTTTAATTTTTCTTTCTGGGAATTGGAGCTTGCTTGTAACTATCTCTCTCAAATATTGTTATCTCACCAGTTTTTCTTATTTTTCCCTTCTTGTTCTTTCCTTTTCTCTCTCTTGTTCGTTTCTTTTTTTTCTTTTTTGTGTTGAAACCCTCTTAAGCTTGGCTAATACCAGCACCACCACCACAAAAATACTAATGAAGAAACCAACCTTTGGCCGCTCGATTTGACCTCTCTCTCCTCTTTCTTCTCTCACACCTTCTTAACTCTTCACTGTTTATATACTAATTTTTTTATAATTTAATTAGAATCCATGATTGGGATTTGGGAAAGGAAAAACGGTGGCGCAACCCTCATCTCCTTTATCTTTTATTTCAGTGCATTAAATATTTTATTAAACAAATGCATGTTTATAGAATTGTTAAAAGAATAAAATGTTAAAATAGTATAATGTCTAATATGTATCAGTACATGATAATGAAATATAATAGTAATCAAATACTCTTGATTAAAGAATTGCTAAAATAAAAAATGAAAAGTTTCATATCTTACATTTATTAGTAGCTTATAAAGTATAGCCTGTATTTTTACAAATATTAGTCCCTATTATCGACAATGTAGATGTGTTATATTATATTTAATCATAGTTATATATATAAATAGAGTATGTGTGTTATTTTTCTATATAAAAAATAATAATAGTGTTATTATTATTATTAAACTTATTAAATTTTATATAAATAATTTTATAATTTAATTATAAATAATATAAATAACTTATATTTATTTTTTAGGTAGTTTTATTAAAAAAATAAATAAGTTTTAAAAAATATCAAAATCGAAAACAAAACTGTTAAATTTAAAAAATAAATAGTTATTTAAAGGATAAAATTAATAAAAAAATTTAAAAAACTTTTTTCAAAGGATAAATCTCAAAAAAAATATGATATAGATATTTTTAATTTAAAAATTTTATTGGAGAATAAAATAAAAAAACAAAACATATATATATATATATATATATATATATATATATTGTAAATTAATTATGTACAATAAAAAAATATGACACATACATGGATAACACGTATGTATTCATTAGTATGAATATAATAAATTTTTTACTATTTGTAAAATATTTTTTTTAAGTTTTTTAAGGGTGTGAAAAAATTAAAAAAGAACACTTGAAAATAAAAGAAAATAAAAAGTGTGCAAATGAATCGTGATTTTTGAAAAGGCCTGAAAATATATGGTAGTTGGGTCTTATGTTGAAGCAGTCAGACCCATAACACTAAGGCCACTATGACCTTAGGAAGGACTTTTCAGATCTGAGTTCATTATCTCAACTTCTCATTCTCTCTCTAAAAAGCTTGTTCCTCCTCTCTGCCTTCTCTCTATCATTCCCTCACGTTTAATGGTTGCATGTTGGATTAGGTGGTGCTCAAGTGATCGCGGCATAGAGACCTTCGCAACCATCCAAATAGATTTTCATTCTTTAGCGAGGGGCTGTCTAGATTATTCGCGTGTGGGGTACTGGAGCTACGGGTCTTTGAGCTGAGCAAAGAAGTTTCAAGGTAAGGGGAGCTAGAATGCGTTTTTAAATGGTTGCCTGTGTTGTATGTATATGGATTTTTGTACTATTATGATGTTGATGTTGTGCTTTGATTGAGAAGATTTATTTGCATGTACTGGATTGTACGGTTGTGGAACCGAAGTGTAATGTGTGTATACTATTTTGGATGTATCTCATTTCTGTAATGTCTATGTTGATGTGTTTGGGCTGAGAGATATGTTGTAACAGTGAATGGATGGAAAAAAATGGTATTCTGTAAGGGTTTTGGGTCACTTGAGAGGAAGTGAGGTAGTGATTTTGGGAAGTAAGGATTCTGGGCACATTTGGGTTGTTGGGACATCTTATGCAAGTCATTTGTGACCTGTTAGGATCATAAAACTGGACTAGAACATGTTAGAAGTGGTAAAATCGAAATTGGGTCCTTAAGTTGTGGAAATTGATGTTTCAAAAGATAAAACTTGATCTTAATCACTTTAGAATGGTAGTAGGAATGTTCAGAATCATTTAGATGAATTTAATTAAGTATAAAACTAAAATTAAGATTGTTAGAAGTTAGTAAAAATGGTTAGGAAAGGTTATGTTAGGTGTTGTACATAATTCTGCAGAATTATGCAGTTTCGCAACTGATAATCGTTCGGCCATGCGTTGTTGAGCGTTCGGTCTTAGCGTTCGGTAGTAATAGCGTTCGATCTTAGTGCTCGGTCTTAAGTAGAGTTCGACCTTAGTGCTCGGTCTTGTTAGCGTTCGGTCTTAGTGGATGGTCTCTTAAGTAGCGTACGGTCTTAGTGGATGGTCTCTTAAGTAGCGTATGGTCTTAGTGGGTGGTCTTGGTAGCGTTCAGTCTTAGTGGATGGTCTCTTAAGTAGCGTACGGTCAGTGGGTGGTCTTGGTAGCGTTCGGTCTCAGGTAGCGTTCAGTCTCTCTTGGTGAGCGATCCTGAATAGTGTTCGGTCAGTCTTCAGTCTTACCATTTATGGATCGTTCGGTCCTGTCCTTTGGGAAGTGAGATACCGTTCGGTCTCCACCATTCACAGGGTGTTCGGTCTTGCCCATTATGTGTTGCTGTTTTCTGTTCGACCTATATTCCTATTTATTCCAGTATGCTATTTTACTTAATTGTTCCAATTGCTTTAAGGGTTTATGTTGCATTAACATGTTGGTGTTAAAGTGGAAAGTATTAGTATTGGACGTAATTCCATGATCCTCAAGGAGGATATATGGTGGTGCCCTTTCAGTGTGTTTAGAATGATTTGTATGGTAGCTCAGTCTTGGGGGGTTTCCTGACGCTCCAATGGTCTTTCATTCTCAAGTAGAGAGGATTGATCCATGTGGTGAGGAGTAGTAGGAGGTCCTAGTCTTGAGTGCTTCCAGTATGGCCCAAGGTGAGTGATAACGGACTAACCTCGTGAGTGTGGTAGGGTGAAACCCATTGGCAATGGCTTTGCAAAGTAGTAGAAGCCACCACGAGTGCATAACCCGCCATAGCTTGACAATCATTCTAAGTCCGGACGAGTCAAGTTTAAGTGCAACAAGTCATGTTTGTATAGTATAGTATATCCGTCTTTACTTGCATGTTGTATATGACTATTATAACATGATTTTTATATCTAGCTCACCCTTGTTTGTGTGTTTGTGTTTGCTTGGGTATGTTTTCTTTTGCAATGATCATCCACTTGGATGTGAGCAGAGATGGATGAGGTGTCTCTGAAGCAGGCTTTGGAGGAAGATGATGTTGCTGCTTACTCTCCTTAGGATTCTATCAGTTATTCCTTATCTTTTGAAATACTCTAGGATGCTTAAGTTTTAAATTCTGACTCCTTATGGGATGACTGTACACTTAACAAACTTTATTTACAGTCTACTCTAACTGTTCTTTTATTTAAATGTGGACTTACTATGTTATATGCTTCTATATAATCTGGGATGTTACAATTTTCAATTTTTATACTATCGTATAAATAATCAATTATAATAAATTTGGATTTTTTTAGTACAATAAAATTTTAATAAAAATGTTAACTATGTTAATTTCGTTTGAATTTGGATAATAATTAAGGTAATTAGTATTTGATGTTTGATAACTGTTACGTATATTTATTAAAGAAAAAATTAATAGTCATATCAATTAATCTTAAATTAGACATTTGTTTTTCTAAATTTAAAATCCACACACACATAAAGATAATGATACTTTGACAATATCTTTTTGACAACATTTTAACACTATCTATGTGTCCTTTTGTGATTGGCCCATGTTGGTGTTTATGATTATTATTATTGATTGTAGATGATGATAAAATGTTGTCAAAAAAATGTTGTCAAAATATCATTATCCTATATATAATTAAGGTTCGAAAAGGTTTATGAAGATTTAAAAAGAAATTTATATCAAACTAGTCAAATTGATAAGAAATAATGAAAATTACTTTAGAAAAATAGAAATTTTTTAAGAAATTAAAAATCAAATAGAATAAATAATATAAGTTTTTATATTAGGGTTTATGCAATTAAATAAGAATATTTTTATGTGAAAAAATAATAATAATAAAATATTAAAAAGATCATAAATATACAAATACAAAACAAAAATTATTTGATTCACTGTAGCATTTTGAATATAGCAGAACAAAGGCTATGATAAGAGGAAAAAAAGTCTTGAAGAGTGAATTTCATGAATATAAAACAAGTCAAATAATTGACGAGAAAAAAAAGTGTGTGGTGAAAGAAAAAAAAAGGTCGTAAAACAACAAGAGAATAAGACACACACAGACACATACACAAATACACAGACACATACACAAACACACACACACAAAGACACAAACATAAACACAAACACAAATACACACAGACACAGAGGGAGAGAGAGAAAGAGAGAAACAAACACAAACATGCACGCCCGCACATCCACACCCCCTTCCTACACACACGCACACATACACGCACACGCGCGCACACACACACTTAACTTTGTTACTTTAACTATGTGTACTTTAGTAATTTACACATGACAAAAAAAATGTTAAGATAGATATGAGAACGGGGATAGGATAGGTATGTACATACTCATCATCATCTCCATATCCAATTGAAAAAATCATATATTACTCATATATGTACCTAATCAATGCTAGAATTCTTCGTCCAAACGGGGAACGGGTTCAGATAATACCCTCGAAAATGATTTTATTCTCATTCCTATTAAAGATTATAACAATAGGCCAATTAAAAAAAGCATAATTGAATTGTTTGTTAAAACGTTTTTGCATATTTTCGTAACTATTAATTATATGATGAATCACAGTTAGACAAAAGTTTTTAACTTGACAAACAGTTCACAAAAGATCTTCAAAATCTTAGCTTGAAAATTCCTCTTCTTAAGTAGTACATGTTTAATAACATGCAATCTTAACAAAGATAAGAAAAAGAAGAATGTACTTTTAGATTTTTATACTAGTTCATATGATAAAGTAAATGTTTAATACCTATTTTGGTCCCTCGGCTTGTAGGGTCTGTTCAAAGTTGTCCTCCCTTTTTTCAAAAGTTCACTAACATCCTACTTTTCGCAAAAACGGTGCACGTTAGTCCTTTTTGCTTACGGTGTTAAAAAAACTAATGGCAGACCTATCCCCTAGCAAAAAGTTGATGACTTGTACATTTATTGATGTCGTGGCACGGTGAGGTCATTTGAT